AGATAATATAAGTTAGTTTTATATAATTTCATTTTCAAGTTTAAGCACCTCATAAGTAAGGCTCCAGCCCTATGAAACGCCGCCGTTTTATTACTAATAGAATAGTTTGTCATACGCTACTGAATTTTATGAATGTCTGGCTCCCGCTTCACCTTGACCCAAATTTTAGGTTCAATAACCAGAATCGAAATATAATGTTGACTTTTAATAGAATATATGTAATACACGTCATTCTGGTTATACTGATATCTGGTATAACGACTTCATAGCAAAACCTTTCTATATCGACATTTTTTTCAAATTTTTGATATAAAATGTCAGTATAACTCACTGTATCGACATTTTAATTTTTTTTTCTACTAATGCCTTAAAAATGTCAACATAACCAAATATATAACTACACAGGATATAACTGATTTATTCCCTGCTATTCACGTAATATAACTTTCATGTACTTATTTTAGAGTTGCACCTTTATTTTACGCACTGTTTTTGATATTTAAGATTAAATAGGATAATATACTCAATCACCTAAATTAAATAAATATATGCCTAGTAGAAATAAGGCATGAAAAAGTTACGTAGTTGAGGATATTCTTTGGCTGGAGGTTCATTATCCAGAAATTGAACCAAAATTAGGTTTAATGTTTGGATACCGAAATCTTGATTTAATATACGATAGCAGACTTTTAACTGTATATTACCGTATTGTTTCGAAATAATGCGCATGGGTGGCATTACGAATTTCGGCCTAAATTAAGCTTAATTTGGGCCATGCTGTTATTTCGCAACAATACGGTAACTAACTTCTAATAAATGCCACCTTTATTAGGTATAGTAATTCTGATTAAGACGAATAATTATACGGGTTCAACACTATCCATATCGAATCATAACCAAGCAGTACTAATTTGACCTATTAGATATACTGTACTTAGGAAGAACTTGTTTTCTCACGTAATTCCTTTATGCCTTACTTGAGAAACTACAATTTATAAGGTTTGACACTGCAATAAATCTCGGAAATAAAGAAATTGCAACTGGTATTACATTTATAGATGCATTAGAGGTCCATACATCCTTTTTAATGGTGCTTCTTTATTAAAATATTGTAGTACTGTACTGTACATATGCATTTACAACCAAGATTAATAGAACAAAATTGAGATGTAATCTTATAAGTAATATGTAGCAATTTATAAAATATAAATACTATTTAATTGTGCTGTGACACTGGTGATTATTCAAAATCTATTGCTTTTAATAACCAATCAGATTTTAGATAGTCACAAGTTTCACCAGCATGATCTAGCAAATCTAGTTCCAAAGTGTCAGATTTAATGACTAGAGCTCCAGCCCACAAAACGTCGCCGTTTTTATAGTATAATAGCAATTAGATCACACCAATGGTGTTCAACACCACATATATGTTTTAATAGTTTTGTTATGTAGTAAAATTTAGGGTTGAGAACCTGAACTATAGTAAAGATATAGGACTAAATTTAGTTAGGGTAAGAATTTTGGGGGTTCTAGCAATAAGGACAATATGCTATTAATTAACAAAGTATTTTGTTTTAAAATAAATTAATTCTATTTTGATATAAACAAAGGCAATATACTAATTTATCAATAATAAAGGTAATGTTCTTTACAAAAGGTTTATAATTAGATATGTGTGCGCTTTCTTTCGGCAACATTCATATATGAATGATCAATGGTTAATAATCATACCCACCTATAGTGAAATTCGCCCAGTCATACTAAATATAATCCAATGGATGAATACTTTATTCTTATCTTTATCCCATGTTAGTAACTAGTGTTGGCATTTGGACTATGTCCAATATAATTTTATCTAATCCAAATAGTATCCATGTCCATATTTTGTATATTGATTAATGTTCAAAAAATTTTTTAAAGAAGTATTTTGGTGTAGTGACGGCAATTTACGGATTTTTCCAATATCCGCATGGAATAAAGGTGATCAATTTCTTTCGAAACTTTGCCCGTATTTTATGTTCAATGATTTCTATTCGGAATATTTCGAAATAGTAACCATTCGATTTTTATTTGGACTAAGTGTTTATGTCCAATAAAAAAATCTGGACAATATGAACATAGTTCATAAATATCCATGTCCATTGGTCTATATTGTCCATGCCAGATTGTACCAACACTGTTCGTAACAATAACCAAGCCAGAAAATTCCATCAGTTAATTTTGACAATGAATTTCAGTTGATTGAAGCATTGATAATCAAATCGACCAATCGGGTTCTTTATTGAACCCTTTGATGTAGATGCTTGAGAATGTTGACTAATATCACACTTATAAATAATGAAATATGTAGAAATATACTGCATTTAATTGTATTAGTTGATGGTCGGTCGATGATTTAGTCGACTCACACTACATACAAGAAATTAATTTTATTAAAGTATTGAATGTACATAGTACATACATACGTACGTACGTACGTACGTGAGTACTAAAAAAGCTAACATATCGAAATCGATATCCTAAATCTATATCGATATTGCTGTCATGTAGTCTTAGATAATCGTTCAACATTCATTTAGATCATGTGATTATTGAAATTCCAGCGACTTTTGCTAAGGAAAACTTTGTACGTACGTAATAAAGTCATAGAATGTACGTTCGTACGTACGTACGTACGTACTTAACTAGATAGCAGATAGGTGTTGGACACTGATGTAAAGTAAAAGCCATGCATAATGATATCAGTCGGGCATTGCTTAACGTTAATTGCCCTATAGGCTTTCTTCAGCGGTGCTGTATTGTATAAATAAATTTGGAGGGTGTACTATAACAACCGCTTAACTTAGTAAGGTAGAAAACCTTAGATTGGTTTAGTCGTCAATACTACTAACTAGAAATATAAGTCACTAAACTAAAATAGTACTTTCTACGTAACTATATTAAGTGATTCTTATAGTACACCCCCCAAATTTATTTATACAATACAGTACCGCTGAAAAAAGCCATATAACGATAATTGACTATTTCAGATAATTAGCATGTGATCCAAATAGCTTACAGATCGTTTTCATTGGTGGCATCATGGGTAGCAAAAGAAACGGAAATGCACGTACAAATTTATTCTATTACATAAACGGCTTTACAGAGTCAAATCCTACATTCTTTGTTTTAATATTTATCGTGACTTCAAGTCTAGAGTATCATACGAGTCATGCAGTGAGCCATAACATATTTGCCCTTCATGGTAAAATCAAAAAAACAACGATCTCTGCTAGCTTCTCGATTTGGGTCTAACGAAGACAAGGTAATTAATGGTTTCATACTAATCTTTACCATACTTTTTTTATTCACGTTGACATTATATAATTGGCTTTTACTTTGCTAGGAAACACAGGAAAATGAAATTGAAGCTTTGAAAGGTAAGTTTTATTTGGTGATTAGGTGAAAAGTCTGAGAGGTGAATTTATTTTGTTCTAGCATTGATAAATATCCCTTTTTTACACTCTTAGCAATTTACATGGAAGATTACGTGCCTGTGGTTGCGCCTTCAGCATGGAAGGTGGAGTTTGATCCTTTATTAAAATTGCTTGATTTTGGATCTCATTGCTGAATAAATTTAAAGTTTTCGTATTAGGTCGCACCGACATGTCATGAGTTTCTACTTCATCTTTTACCTCATGAAGAAGAACTGAAGGAGCATGTATCAGTAGACTTGCACGTTAAGTGAGTTGTGTTTAGTAATCAATGTGCTCACTATTATACTAGAAAACAAAAATTGATCACTATAATTACTCTAGATTTCCGAAAACATATCCACGTTCAGCACCAGATATAAAAGTTGAAAATGCACGCGGTCTTTCAGAGGAACAATTGATTAAAGTTCGAGAACATATATCTCGACTTATTAAAGACAATCTTGGACAAGAAATGGTTTTCAATATTGCTCAGTACGTTCAAGAGTTTATAACTACGAATAACAATGGCGTTAAAGTTTTGGTTAAACAATCTTTTCATGAGCAAATGTTAAGTCGAAATGAAAAAATAACCAAGGTTCGTTTTATACGTGGTTTTTTAAATACACTATTATGGATGGGCAAATCGAGAATCTTTTGAATCTATTGCAGTATTATACGAGCTGACCAGAATTATATACCAACTAGTCTGAATTACAAAAATTATACTGCGCAATCTCTCAAAAATTCTGCAGGCGTGCAGCGCAGTGTTGGCCATTTTAGGTCATATCCAACTATTATATGACCAAGATGGTCATAATGCAATAGTAAATTTATAAGTCATAACTGTTCATACTTATAATTAGACAATAGGTCATAATGCAATAGTAAATTTATAAGTCATAACTGGTCATACTTATAATTAGACAATAGGTTATAATTCAATAGTAAATTTATAAGTCATAACTGGTCATACTTATAATTAGCCAATAGGTCATAACAGGTCATAGACCAACACTGGTACAATGAATTATTGCGCAGCCCGTGCAGTGGCCCATCCTTATATATTATCCTATATATGGGGTCTTTGCCTTGAAAATCAAGTTATGGAACATAGTAAATCATATGTTCCATATTCGATTTTCAAGGCAAAGACCCCATATTATCATGAAAATGAATTTATGTTATATTTTTTATTAGGCTGAACAAGAAAAGGCAATGGAGGAAATGGATCGTGCACGTCAAACTGAAGAGCAAGAACGAACGGCAGAGAACTTGTTATTACTTCAAAAAATTCATGAGGAGGAACAACGTCTAAGGGCAAAGGTCGAAGAAGAAAAACAAAAAAGAAAGCACTTGAAAGCTAAAGATGCGAATCCATTAACGGACGCATCTTCAGTGTTTCAAACTGTTAACTTTGATAGAAAAATCGTGCTGGATCCTGGAGATTCATCGGTATTTATAATGATATGTGCACGTTATAATTTACAACTGAGTAAACAGCATATTAAATATAGTATAACACTTTAGTCGGTTCCTTTTAAGTCCGTAATTCTTGGGCCACTAGTAGGCAAAGGTATATATACTTTGTAATTTATTAGTTTCGTTCCCTTCATTATGTTCCACAATTCCTGTTTACCGTTTACGAATATATTAGGAATAGTTGGGTCAACATATATGGTTCAGGCAGTTAATGTCCAGAATAAAGATGTGGCTTCAAAGCACCGTCATGTTTTAATTCTGAAAGATATTGAAATTTCTGAACCGCACTACTTAGAGCTGGCCGGCAAGGAGAAGGTATTTATTATGGGAAATCTTTTAT